ATTTCCATTGTCTTTTTAAATTTTTGGTTTAATTTTTAAAAATTTTATTCAATTTTCATAGTTACTTTAAAATTTAATTCAGTTTTTATATCTTAGTTTTTAAAAGTCCATTTAAATGTCACTGTATTTTTAAAATTCAGGTTTTTAATTGTAGTTTTAAAAAAATAATTTAACTTTTTAAATGTTACTTTGCAACTGAAGTCCCAGCTCAGTCTCCCCTTTTCCCCACCCACCTCAACCTTCCCCGAAAACTCCACCCTGGCTTTTTCCAGGCCGTGATTCCAGGATTTTCCATCCCTTCCCAGATGATTTGTTTATCTCAGCCTGCCCAGCCCTGCTGCGATAATTACCCGGAGCAGATTCCAGAGCCTGGGATCAGATCCGCATCCGGAGCGCTCCCTTCGCCCTGACAGCACCAAAATCCCGGAATTCTGGAGAAATCCTTCCTCCAGAGGAATTCTGGAGGGCCCAGAACTCCACCGGGAATTTTGGTGCCAAATTTTTGGGTTTTTTTTCCCCTGGACCCTGAATCCTTGTGGAATCCTTGTGGAATTCTTGTGGAATTCATTCCAGAATTTCTCCTGGGATTTACCTGTCAGGGTTCTAAGCTGCGGGATGTGGATGATTAAAAAAAAAAAAATCCCTGAAATTTTTGTCTTCCAGAGGCTCCTTTGGAGGTAGGTGTTGGATTGAACTCCTGAAATTCATAAAATTCCTGTTTTTTCTCCAAAGATTCTGCTGGAAAATCCAGGGGAATCTCATTATATCTCTGATGAGGATTTCCATGGAGATCAAATGGTTTTTTCAGACAATTCCCAAAGTTTTTGGGTGGGAAAACAACAGGATTGGAGTTTCTTCTTCCCAAAAGAGCTACAAAAATGGGGGTTTGTAACAAAGAAATTTCCTTTTTAGGCAAAACTGGTTTCATTTGGATCATTCCGGCAGGAAAATAAGGAGGAAAAAAAATATTTCCCTCCCTTTTTATCCCATAGAAAATAAATTCGATTTGTGAATAATAAAATTTTTGGGGAAAAAAAGAGACAATCCCAGGTTTTTAAAATGGAAAAATACGGATCAAAATACGGATCAAATTGCTGAGCATCCTGATCTTTAAAATCCCTTCCATCGCAAAACATTCCCTGATTTTATGGCAAACTCACCCAAATCCCTCTGGAATTACAATTAAAGTGACTTTCATTATTATTGGCAGTTAATTAATAATAACAACATTCCAGCAGAATTGTTTTTGGATTTTAACACGAATTTTTAAGCCTGAACTCACCCCACATACCCAACAAAATAATTCCCAGCAGGGAATCTCCCTTTGGAATTTTTGGAGCCACGGAATTCCCGTGAAGCCCCAAATACTTATTTTGCTTTCCCATTTGTTTTCCCATTATTTATTTCATTTTCCCAATTACTTACTTCGATTTTCCCCAGACTATGGGATGGAAGGGAGAGGGACTCACCAATATTCCAGGAAGGAATTGCCAGGAATGTCCGGAGGAGCCCCAAATCCTTGGAGTTTTATAAGAACTCCCAAACTTCCAGGAAGCTGAGGCAGCCTTTGGGCGCGAGGTTTTAATTGCCCTCCCCTCATGTGTAATAATCTTAATTACAGGTAATTATTGCGGGGTTGTTTACCCGCATAATTCCCTTTTCCATGGGAATTTTTGGAACGGAATGGGAATGGGAATTTTTGTCACATCCCCCTTATTCCTGCTGGGTTTGTGGTTTTTTGGGGTTTTGTTTTTGTTTTTGTTTTTGCAAGAAAAGTGAATTTTGGAGGGGATTTTACTATTCCTGCCTGGATTTCCAACCCTGGGATGGTTCGGGTGGGAAAAGGATTAAATCTCATCCTATTCCAACCCTTTTCCAGGAGCAGGGACACTTCCCGCTCTCCCAGCTTGCTCTAAACCTCATCCCAATTTTTTCTTGGATTAAAAATGCCTCAAGGCATTAAATACTAAACAATAAAAATCATTAATTTTTAATTAAAAAATAATTTAAAAATATTTATTTTTTAAAATCTCAATTTAAAAGTTTTATTTAAAAGTTTAAAAAGCTTCTAGCAAATAAAAAAAAAATTAATTTTAAAAAATTTAAACATTAAAGGCTTAAATATGAGTGGAAAAAAAATTCATCCTGTGGAAGCTGGAAAAATTCGATTAATTTCATGGAGTTTTGCTGATTTTTGGAGGATTTGGGTGAATCCCAGAATTCTGGGATGGGTGTTTTATGGAACTAACTGGGAATTGTATGGAATCCATTGGGAAATTTGGGGATTCTTCAGGCGGGGAGGGATCCCGCTCAAAGCTGCCACAGGATTTTCAGGATCCCTCTGGAATATCCCCACTGAGGGAGATCCCAACATTCCCTGGCCGATCTGTTCCAGTGGAAATTCCTGGGAATCCATTCCTGCCTGGAAATCCCCCCAGGTGGAGCCGCAGCCACCATTTGGAGCTGATTTTTGAGGAGAAATCGCTGGTTTTGCTTCAAAAATCCACAAACCAGCCGGAGTTAGGCGGGAGAACAACATCCTGTTTATTCCAGGGGAATATTCCAGAGCTGCTCCGGGCCCCGAGGGCTTTTCCTGGGATCATTTGTTATTTACATCACCAGGAGAAAACACTTTGCATGCATAAATTACTCGCAAATATTCCCAAAGTGTTTTTTCATCCCCCAGTTTTGTGGGAACCTCATTATCGGGATAGTTTCCCTCATCCTGTCCCAAAAGACACCCCCAGGTTCTCACAGAGTTTTGAAAAATAAAAAAAAATTCAGGATTTGAATTCCTCCTTCCCAGTCGAGGCCGATCCCACCGAGATTTATTATCGGGATTATGATTCTATGTTGGAATATGATTATTTATTGTCATAATTTGATTTTTTTGGGATTCAGATGGGATTTTTTGCGATTCAAGAATCGGATTTTTTGGGATTCGGGAATGGGATTTTCTGGGATCCGGGAATGGGATTTTTTGGGATTCTGGAATGGGAATTTTTGGTGTTCAGAAATGGGATTTTTTGGCATTCAGATGGGATTTATTCGGATTCGGGAGTGGGATTTTTTGGGATTCGGGCATGGGATTCGGGTGGAACTCTTTGAGATACAGGAATTGGATATTTTGGAATTCGGGAATGCGGTTTTTTTGGATGAGGATGGGAGTTTTGGGAATCGGGAATGGGATTTTTTGGGATTTGGGTGGAACTTTTTGGGATTCAGGAATGGGATTTTTTGGGATTCGGGTGGAACTTTTTGGGATTCAGGAATGGGATATTTTGGGATTCAGATGGGATTTTTTAGGATTCGGATATGGGATTTTTTGGAGTGAGGATGGGATTTTTTGGGATTCGGGAATGGAATTCCCGGCGCAGTTCGCCGCTGTCGCCACAAGGCGGCAGCACTGCCCCGCGGCGCTTCCCCGCGGCCTTTTCGGGTCTCGAGACTTTTCCAAGGAAAAATCTCACCCGGAAAACCTCGGGATGAGGGCGGGAAGGGGAGCAGGAGAGCCTGAGCATCGTCCTGGTGTGGAGACGCCGGAATTACAGCAAAATTTCACTGCTGCTTTGAGACACCGGGTTTTGTTTTGTCATCTCGACACAGCTCTTTTATCAGCAGCAAATCCACGACACCAGGAGCTCAGATTTTCACAATTTAACCTTTTCCTGCTGATCCATCCCCTCTTCCTCTTTTTTTTTTTTTTTTCCCTCCTTCTGGGACGAAAGGCTGAGGAAATCTGGAATATTCAGCCTGGAGAAGCTTTGGGGTGACCCCACTGCAGCCTTGAAGGGGCTGCGGGGAACATGGGCAGAGATTTTTATTTTTCCCAAGGGTCTGGAGTGCCAGGAAAAGGGGACCGGGTTCAGCTCGACAGGGAGAAGTTTAGGTTGGATACTGGAAAGGAATTCCTGAGGAACATCATCCCCTCCCTCCAGTAAATCCCTGGTAGTGAACCCAGCCCTAAAATTGTGATTATTTCCCTTATTTTACACAAAAAGAGCAGTGTAACAACATGGAAAGTCTTTTTCTCCCAACAGTAGGAATTAGAAACTGTTTTAAAAGATGGAAAATAAATCAGGCAGAGAGCAGGAATTATCTGTAAACCTGAGTTTAATGCGAGTGGTACAACCAGAGGAGAATTGATCCCACAACATAAAAACAGGGCGCAGACGTTGGCACGAAGGCGTTGGGGTGAGGTTCCAGGTGGCTCAGAGTTCCTCAACCTCTCCCCAAAACCTTCCCGGTGCTGGAAAATCCGAATTTGGGGTCGAATAAAATGGGGGATTCGCTCTGTGAGCTGAACATGGGGGTAAAACCAGGATTGGGGGGCAGGACTGGGAATGGAGGGGGGGGATCACCCCAAACCAAACCTGGGCACCAAGGAGGGGAGATCACCCCAAACCAGGGCTCCAAGGAGGGGGGATCACCCCAAATCTGGGCTCTAGTGAGGGGGGATCTCCCCAAACCTGGGCTCCAAGGAGGGGAGATCACCCCAAACCAGGGCTCCAAGGGGCCCAAATCTGGGCTCTAGTGAGGGGGGATCTCCCCAAACCTGGGCTCCAACAAGGGCGGATTACCCCAAACCTGGGATCCAAGGAGGAGGGATCACCCCAAACTTGGGCTCCAAGGAGGGGGAATCTCCCCAAACCAGGGCTCCAAGGAGGAGGGATCACCCCAAACCAGGGCTCCAAGGAGGAGGGATCACCCCAAACCAGGGCTCCAAGGAGGAGGAATCACCCCAAACCAGGGCTCCATGAAGGAGGGATCACCCCAAACCAGGGCTCCATGAAGGAGGGATCACCCCAAACCAGGGCTCCATGAAGGAGGGATCACCCCAAACCAGGGCTCCAAGGAGGGGAGATCACCCCAAACCTGGGCTCCAAGGAGGGGGGGATCACCCCAAACCAGGGCTCCAAGGAGGGGGGATCACCCCACGGCGATCCCCCCAACCCTGGGCTCCATCCCCCGCGGCATTCCCGACTTTTCCAGCCCGTCCCTCACCAGAGCCACTTGGAAGCGCAGCGACTTTTCTTGGCGTGGCCGGGGCGCTTGGGCCCGGCCGGGGCCAGCCGGGAGGGCCGCGGGGAGCCCCGGGCGTGGTGGGCGCAGCGGGACTTGCTCAGGTGCTGCGCGGAGCAGCTCCTGCCCTTGGTCCCCTCCAGCGGCAGCGACCCCTTGGCCACCGCCCGCAGCGGGGGACACTCCTTGGTGGCCTTGGCCACCCCGCGCGTGGCCGGGGCGCTGCTCAGGCGCTGCTCCGAGGAGCAGCGGGTGACAAACTCCTGCGTGGGGTACCCCTTGGAGCAGCGGTGCGGGGCCACCCCGGCCGGCTGCTCCTGCAGGAAGCAGCGGGCGAGGCTCTGCTGCGGGGGACACTCGGTGACCCCTCGGAGGGGCAGCGAGTAGCCGCCGGTGGGCTCGGGGCGGCGCGGGGGGCTCGGGGCCGCCTTGCGCGGGCGGCACTGGCCGCGGCAGGAGGCGGACGAGCAGCGGATGCCGCACGGGGGGAAGCGCAGCCGGCCGGGCTCGGGGCAGCGCGGAGCGCAGGGCGGGAGGCTCCGGGCCGCGCGTCTCTTGTCCCCGCGGGGGCTCTGCGGGGTGGCCGGGGGCTGGGGGGCGACCCCCGGGCGGGGCAGCAGCCGCGGGGTCTCGCAGGGCTCGGGGCAGAGCAGCAGGCAGCGCTGCACCAGCGGCTGGCACGGCAGCAGCGGCACGGCGGGGACAGCCTGGGGACAGCCCTGCCAGCGCGGAGCCGGGCCCTTGGTGATGCTCAGGGGGTGGCAGGTGTTGGCGAAGGGCTCGGGGTGAGCCGGGCACGGCTCGGGGATGAACCGGGGGCCCGGCAGGAGGAGCGGCGGGCAGCGCTCGCCGGGGCAGCGCATGGCGGAGCGCGGCTCGGAGCGGTGGGAAAACAGCGATTTCTGGGGTGATTCAGCGGCAAAACTCGCCCGCACGCCCCGCTCCCCTCGCGGGCCGTGACTCAAAGCGGGGAGTGCTTGGGAGGGGAGAGAAAATTCCGTCCTCGGCTCCGCGCTCCGCTCTGGAGAGCCTGAAAACAAAAATCCGGATTTTCAGCCAGGCCGGTTGGTGCCACCCTGCAAACCGCGGCGTTCGCCCCTCCCGAGCACCCCGGGGCCCTCCCTGGGTCGCCCTTTCAGGTTGAGCTCCTGCGCGATGAAAGAGGAGCCAAAATTGCGGGTGCGGCCGCCCGGTAATCGCCGGGTGCGGCCACGGAGCCGCGCCGGGCTTGGGAGGGTTTGGGGCTCCCGGAGCTCCGATCCCACGCGGATTTGGGGTCTGGGACGGGGCAGGGGCAGCCCTGGCTCCCTCTCAGGGCAAATCCCGTTTTTTGTTTTGTTTGGTTTTTTTTTTTTAGGAAATGCAGAAAAATATTTGGTGGAGGGAAGGCAAAACCCCAGGAGGATAAAAGGATTAAATATCCCAGAAGAAAAGGATTAACTACCCCAGAAGATTTGGGGTGGGAAGGGACCCGGAGCAGGTGACACGGGGTGAGAATGGCTCCAGCTCCGCTGATTTTGGGAGAATTGCACCGAATAAATCAGCCCCCAGTGCTGCACCACTTTTCTCCTCTGAAAAGTCTCCCCTTTTCCTTGGAAATCGCAGGATAAAAATCCCACTCCGGAAAAATTCCAATTTTAGGGAGTTTTCCCAAGTTTAAACAGGATGCTTTTGACCAAAAATGGTTTTATTCCAATATTTCTTTGGAGAGTAAAGCACTACATTAAAAAAAAAAATCTACATTGTAGATCGCAAAAAAATAAAAAATTAAAATTAAAATTCTACATTTTCTGGGCACCCCGAATTCTGATCATTCCAGGATTTAAGGCTCCATCTTCCCAAATCCTAAACCGGGACAGAGTCACCTGGCCGGCTCGTTATGAAAACTCATCGCAACAATCAAAACAATAATTGTACAATAAAAACAACAAAGACAGCGATTACCGCAATAGCTGAAGCTCATTGGAACAAAACGCCTCTTAATTAGGGGGATTGTTCGCACTTCCCATTCGTTTTCAGGGGGTTTACCCGGAATTTTTAGGAAATGGGAATTTTTTTCCCGCCGGTCAGCTCTGGTCGGGGGAAAAAAAAAAAAAACAAAAAAACAAAACAATTCTTGCTCTGGTCGGAAAAAAAAAAAAAAAAAAAAGAAAAAGGATAGTAAAAAATCCTTTGTTTGAAACTCCATGAAAGCAGCAGGAATTCCTCCAGTTTCTCTGGAGAAGCTGCTCCGGCTCTTCCCATCCCACACCCGATTCCCGCCGGGATCCAGCCCTTTATGGAGCCAAATCCTACAAATCCTACCGGGAAAAAAAAAAAAAAAAAAGCAGGGAAAAAAACCCAAAAAAATCCCATTCCCTGTGGAATTTCTTCCCCATTTTTCCTCAGCGCAGCTCCCGCCTCAAGAGCCGCGCGTCCCAAAAGGCTGGAGGAGCTTTTGGGGATAAAAAGGAGGATTTTGGGAATTCCAGGACTTACCCAGTTCATGAGGGGGAAGAGCCGGAGAGAAGCGCCCGGGAAAGGCCCGGGCTGGCCGGGTTTTTATGGAGCTCGGGAATGCCCCAGGGAATTTTGGAGAGGTTGGGTTTGGCTTTAATTGCACCCCAAAGCCGGCCACGTGCGGCTCCGGCTCCCCGGGATGTCCTGGATCCCCGGGATCCGAGAGGCTGGGCCAGCCAAAAACCCTGGAAAATCAGAGATCCTCGGAGATGCCAGATTTCCCCGAAATTCCAGCCGGAACAGCCCCTTCTAACCCCCAAAACCCCACAAAAATAAAGAAAAAAACCTGGGAAACCGAGGGTTCTCTGGGGTGCCAAATTGTCCTGAAATTCCAGCTGAAACGGCCCTTTCCATCCCCAAAAAAACCCAAAAAAATATCAAAAAACCCTGGAAAACCGACGATTCTCAGGGTCGTCAAATCTTCCAAAAATTCCAGCCAAAACGGCCCTTTCCAACCCCAAAAAAATAAAATTAAAAATAAATAAAATAAAATTTAAAAAATTTAAAAAAAAAAAAAAGCCATTGGAGGCCAGCCAAGGAAAAGAAGGAATTCCTCATTCCCATGGGAGCTGCGGGCAGGAATCCCTTTGAAAATCCATCCAGGAAGGACTCGGGGCATCCCATAATTTGTGGGACACGCGGATTCCTTCCCGGGAATCCAGGGGACACAGGAGGGACCGTCAGGGGCCCTTGGGACAAAGTGGGGAAGGGAGCAGGCTCATCCCAAAAAAAAACCCCAAAATTCCCATTTCCTGCTCCACACCGCCCTTTGTTCCCTGTTTGTCCCACAAAAAAACCCAAAACAAAACCAGGGAAAATGAGCAGGACTGGGAATGCCGACATTGGGAGTCACTTCTGCGCGAGGGAAGGGCCTGGAATTCGGGGTTTTGGGGGGAATTTTTTTTTTTTTTGGAGATTTTTTTTGTCCCTAGATTTTTTTTTTGGTCCCTTTTATAGAAATTTGACACTTTTGAATTGCAGGGATGCAGGCGAGGTGCCTGAAAAAAGGGGAATTGTCAGGGAATGTTTTCCTTGGAAGGGATTTAATCCAGCTCGGGGCCCTGCTCAGAACTCCCAAAATTCCCAAAACTGGGAAAACGCTCCTGGATCCTTGGGAATGTGACCATTGGTCAGTACCCGGCCATGAGAATTCCAGGACTGGAATATCAGAATACTTGGAATATTGGGATATTGAAATACTGGAATATTTGGTGTATTTGAATATTGGAATATTGGAATTTTGGAATATTTGGATATTTGAATATTGGAATATTTGGATATTGGAATTTTGGAATATTGGGATATTTGAATATTGGAATATTTGGATATTGGAATTTTGGAATATTGGGATATTTGAATATTGGAATTTTGGAATACTGGGATATTAGAATTTTGGAATACTGGGATATTTGAATTGGAATAATTGAATATTGGAATTTTGGAATTTTGGAGTATAGGAATATTGGAATATTCAAACATTTTAAAATTGGAGTATTTGAATATTAGATTATTTGAATATTGGAATATTTGAATATTAAATTATTTGAATATTGGGGAATTTGAACATTGCAATTTTGAAATATTTGGAATATCAAGCTCCCAAATTATGACCTACTCCCTAAATGTCCCGTTTTATTTCCTGCTTTCCCAGGAGCCTGGAGGCAGCCCCGTGATTTCCATTTAATTTCCCAGCTCCACAGGAAATCACAGGGACACGGCGCCGCTTTTCCAGGCGGATCCCAACATTCCCAGGAGGGCTCAAGGGAGGAACCCGAAGGCAAATCCCGACTCCAGCCCGGATTCCTCTCACTTTTATGGATTCTCCCTCCCCTCAAAACAACAACAACAACAACAATGAAAACTCTTAAATGCTGAATTCCCTGACCTGAAATTCCGGGAACAAGCAGGCGTCGGAGCCTGGGTTAGGCCGGGTTTTATGGGAATTCCTTGGGAAGCTCGGGATCAAGCAGAGCTGCTAATTCCTGGTTGTGTGTGCCCAGTGCAGGGAGCGGAGCATTAACGTGGTGACCTGGCATTAAACACCTCCTTAATTAGCACCCCGATGTCCTTAATTAACATTTGCGAGGCCCTTTCATCTCCCAGAGGCTCCTGGGAAATTTGGGGGGGGGGGTGTCATTATTCCCAATTAAACACTGGGGAAACTGAGGCACGGCTGAGTCAGGGCCAACCCCATCCAAAACATCCCCAAATCCCGGTGACCCCAAAATCCAGGATCCAGCCCCCAAGGAGGATTTTCTGGAAGATTCTGTGGGAAAAGCCACAAGGCCAGCCCAAGATGGGACAACTCCTCCAAAGGTCATGGATCCAGGCTGGGAATGTTGGGAGTGTTGGGAATGTTGGGCCTGTGGAGACCCCAGAGCCCCCCCAAGATCTGCAGGGGCTCCAAGGAAGTTGGAGAGGGACTTTTCCTCAGGAACGGCAGGGACAGGACACGGGGAATGGGGTCAGGGTGTCAGAGGGGGAATTTGGGTGGGATTTTGGGGAGGAATTGTTCCCTGTGAGGGTCCCAGGTTATTCCATGGATTTCCCATCCCTGGGAGTGCCCAAGGCCAGGTTGGAACCACCTGGGATAGGGGAAGGTCCCTGCTCATGGAACTGGGGTGGGATTTTTTGGGATTTAAGGTTCCTTCCCATCCCAAACCATTCCAGAATTCCGTGGGCTGCTTTAGATGGGATTTTAGGGATCAATCCTTCCCTGGCCCAGGTGCTTCCATGGATTCCCCATCCCTGGGAATGTTCAGGGCTGGATTAGAACCACCTGGGACAGGGGAATGTCCCTGCCCATGGAATGGGATGATTTTGACATCACTCCAACCCAAACCATTCCAGGATTTTATCCCAATTTTAAGTGGATCCAACAGGTCCCTGAAACCCAAACCATGCCAGGAATTTCCCCCTCAGTTTTCGGGGGATCCGGAGGGTTGGGTTGGATTGCGGGACCACGCCTGCCTCTGGGGGTGGCGGATTTTCCACATTCCCTGTTGGAATAAAACCCCAAACTCCGAGGAAAAGGAGGCCCTGGGATCTCCCAGCACTTCCAGGAGCTCTTGGGCAACTCCAGGTGGCACCAGGAGGTCACCGAGGCAGGGAGGAGCAGGAAGGGATGCGGGACAGCGTCCCCAGCCCGGCCACACCCTCCTGTCCCCTCGGGTCACCTCGTGAGCTCCTGCTCGTTTTCCTAATGATGGGGCTCATCCGTGGCTTTTTCCAGCCTGGGTTTCGCTGGATTAACTAAAATACATATTTAATATTAAATAAAGATTTAATATTAAATAAATATTTAACATGAAAATAAATATCTTCGTTAAATAATATTTCCACGAAATAAATATGTCTATTAAATGTGTCCCATTAAATAGAGGTGTCATGTTAAATAGGTACAATAATATTAAATGTTTATATTATAAATAATAAAACAATCATAATAATATTTACTAAATATTTCTTTAATTAAATAAAAAACACCAAGAGGCAGAAACCTAAGATTTTAATCCGAGGTCAGGCAAGAACGTTTATTTAAGTTTACACATATATATGTAAAATATTAATATACTTCTGTAAATAAAGTTTTTTTTCAGTGCACATCTTCAGCAAAAAGAATTTAATTAATTACTTTTTTAAATTAAACGTTTCTAGAATAACCCTGCTATAACTTTTGTTATTTTGAAGAGTTTTCATTTCAATTTGCAGTTTTTATTTTAATCAAAGAATAAAAATAAAAGGTTCAGGAGGGACATTTTTGGGGAATTGCTGTTTGGGGACTCTGCGGGAGTCAGGGGTTTAAAAAAATGGGAATTCTGGCCACATTCCAGAGGGAAAACGGCTCTCCTGGACCAGGAGGGTCCTTTTCCACCTGAATTTTAGGAATTCCTTGGCTGTGCTCTGGAAAAAGCCTGGAGTCTCCCTCCCTGGGAATATTCCAGAACCATTAATTAATTTATTTACTCCCTGCTGGAACAGGGAATTTGGACCTGCTCTGGTCCCTCCAGACCCCTCCAATCCTGACATTCCGAGTGAGTTTTACCCAATTCCATCAGAAATTCACGTTCGCTTTCCCAAACATCCAAACCTGGATGTGCTTGAAAGCTCCGAGCCTTGTGGAATCCAACTCAACCGGAACATTCCATCCCAATTCCAGGAATAAACCTGGAGATGCGATCTGGACCAGTCCCCTTGAAGCTGTGGAGATCTGGACTCCTCGGATCTTTCCATTCCTTCTTTTATTAATATTAATATTATTGCTTTGAAATCACCATTTCTTGGAATTCTGTGGGAATTCGGTCCCATCCCACCACCGAGGAAGGAGCCAGAGGCACCGGGAATGTCCCCACGGAACGGGAGGGAAACGCCAGACAGCCGGCATAGCGCGGATGGGAGCGGGAGGAGATAAAGAACCCAAACACCGAATTCCCAGGGATTGTCCCCGTCCCACGCCCTGGTGGTCACCAGGGCCACTTGGGGGCCGAGCAGTACTTCTTGGAGTGGCTGGAGACCTTCACTCCACCGGACTGCTGGGGGACACACTTGGTGACACTTTGCTGGGGGACACAGATTGTGCCACACTGCTGGGGAACACACTTGACACTTTGCTGGGGGACACATTTGGTGGCACTTTGCTGGGGGACACACTTGGTGACACACTGCCGGGGGGCACAGATTGTCCCATATTGCTGGGGGACGCACTTGGTGGCACTTTGCTGGGGGACACAGATTGTTCCGTACTTCTGGGTGACACCTTTGGTGGCACTTTGCTGGGGGACGCACTTGGTCACGCTCTGCTGGGGGACACACTTGGTGGCACTCTGTTGAGTGACACTCTTGGTCACACACTGCTGGGGGACACACTTGGTGGCACTTTGCTGGGGAACACAGATTGTGCCACACTGCTGAGGGACACACTTGACACTTTGCTGGGGGACACACTTGGTGGCACACTGCTGGGGGACACAAATTGTTCCGTACTTCTGGGTGACACCTTTAGTGGCACTTTGCTGGGGGACGCACTTGGTCATACCTTGCTGGGGGACACATTTGGTCACACACTGCTGGGGGACACACTTGGTGGCACTTTGCTGAGGGACACAGATTGCGCCACACTGCTGGGGGACACACTTGGTGGCACTCTGTTGAGTGACACTCTTGGTCACACACTGCTGAGGGACACAGATTGTCCCACACTGCTGAGGGACACAGATTGTCCCACACTGCTGGGGGACACCTTTGGTGGCACTTTGCTGAGGGACACAAACCGTCCCACTCTGCTGCTGCTGGGGGACACAAATGCTGGCCCCGCCGGTGTCACACTGCTGCGGGACACACGTGGTGACACACCTGCTGTGCCACTGCTGGGGGACACCGGCGGTGACACTCTGCCGCTGCTGGGGGACAGGCGCTGTCACCCACCGGTACGAGATGCCCCGGGCCGCGCGCTGCTGGGGGACACAGGTGGTGGCACACCTGGGGACACCCTGCTGGGGACAGACACGGGTCACACACTGCTGGGGGACGCACCTGGTGGCACTCTGCTGCCGCGGGACACCCTTGGTGACGAACGGCGGCCGCGGCACGCAGGTGGTGACACACCTGGGGACAATCTTCTGCTGCTGGGGGCCGCACTCAGGCGGTGGCACCTGCAGCTGCTGCGGCACGCACTGGGTGACCCCCGCGCCGCCCGTCACGCGCTGCTGCGGCACGCAGGTGGTGACACACCTGGGGACAACCTTCTGCTGCTGCAGGACGGGCGGGCACTGCTGTGGCACCTGCAGCTGCTGTGGCACGCACTGGGTCACCCCCACCCGGTGTGGCACACACTGGGTGACGCGCTGCTGCGGTGGCGCGCACGTCGTCGCCCGCCTGGGGACAATCTGCTGGGGCACGCAGAGGGGTCCGTGGAGCTGGCAGGGTGGCACGGCCTGGGTGACGCTCTGCTGGTGACACACACTGGAGGACATCGCCCGCTGCAGGGGCACCTGGCCGGGCACGGCCTGGGGGATGCAGGTGGTGGAGTGCCACCGCTGAGCCGGGAAGGGGACGCCGGGGGACAGCGCCACGGGGTCCTGGTAGAGCGGAGGGAGGTGCTGGTGCAGGTGGCAGGACATCCTGGGGACACGTGGCAGGACTGGAAGGACACGGACGGGGTTGGAATCAGGTGAGGTTTGAGGTCCCTCCCAACCCAACCCTTTTGGTGGCACCTGAGGGAGTCCCCAAAGCTCAGGGACACGTCCCAGCTGTGTCCCAGCCCCAGCTGGTGGAGGTCTCGGGGACATCTTGGGGACACTTGAAGAACACGGTGGGGTTGGAATGAGGTGAATTTTAGGGTCCCTCCCCACCCGTTTGCTGACACCCAAGGACACCTGGACAGGTGGGTTCCCTGCGGTCCCCACACCTCGGGGACATGTCCCAGCCGTGCCACCATCCCAGCACGGCCCCAGCCACACCTGAAGGACCCAACCCCTCATTTTTAACTCTGAACCACGTCTTGAAGCCAACTGGGGACATTCGGGGACACTCAGCACTGAATGTCATGCAAAAAACCCCAATTAATTAAATTAATGAATTAAAACTTCCCTCGCTCCCAAACTGCCCTTTTTCCAGGAGCAAATCTGGGGTTCAGACACTCAGCAGAGAACCCCGAGAGTCCTCTCCCACTCCAGCACAGAAATTCCAACCGATCCACTTTAAAATCCTCTCCCAGATTACATTTTTCACACGGGAAAATCGGGAATAAATCTGAATTTCGTAATCCCAACATCCCAGAGTGCTTTGGGTTGGAAGGGACATCAAAGATCAACTCAACCCCTGTCATGGGACACCTTCCATTATCCCAGGTCGCTCCAGCCTGGCCTGGGACACTTCCAGGGATGGAAAATCCATGGAATATCCTGTGCCAGGCTCTCCTCACTCTCACAGGGAACAATTCCTTTCCAAATCCAACCTCAATTTCTTCACTTTCACTTTCACCCCATTCCCCGTTTGCCTGTTGCTCCAGCTCCTGATGGAAAGTCCATCCCACCACCTTTCCTTGCAGGGAGCGTTCTCTAGTCCCACCCCAAAACGAGCTGGTATTTTTTTCTATAATAACCCCAAATCTTTGCTTGGAATCCACCAATACCTCCCCAAACTGAGGTTATTTTTCCTAAAAGCACTCCGGATCTCTCCCTGGAATCCACCAATCCCACCCCAAAATGAGCTGGTATTTTTTTCTATAAGCACCCCAAATCTTTGCTTGGAACCCACCAATCCCACCCCAAAACGAGCTGCTATTTTTCCTAAAGCCACCCCAGATCTCTCCCTGGAACCCACCAATCCCACCCCAAAACGAGCTGCTATTTTCCAAACCCAAGTCCCAGTCCCAAACCCCGTCCAACCTGGCCTTGGACACCTCTTGGGACGGGGAATCTCCTCTGAGCCACCCAGCCCATCCCATCCCCACTCTGACAATCAAGAATTCCGCCCGGAATTCCCGTCCCAGCGTCTCCAGAGGCTCAGGATCCGGACTCACCCAGCTCCCAGGGGCGGGAAGAGCTTCCAGAGGCGACCGGCGCGTCCCGGCTCCGCCGGAGGTTTTATAGGGCCGCCGGAGGAGCCGCCAGGTCCCGTAACCCCCGTGGCCCTCCCGGAGTGAGTCGGAGCCGCCGACTCATCCCGGACAATGAGTGGTTCCATGTCAGCTTCCCAGAGTAATTACCTCGGGATAATTAATCCTCCGTGGCGTTGGGAGCAGCAGCAGCCCCAGCCCCGGGGCTGTTTGTGGGGAGTGAACCCCTGGATGTGTAGGAATGGGTTTTCCAGGGGGGGTTTCCATAGCTGGGGGTCTCACAGGGATGGGGTGGTGCCGGTTATTGATGGATTTGGGATTTGGGATGCCAGGTTATCCATGGGATTCTCCACCTCCGTGGTTTCATCTCATCCACCCCCCAACACCAAGATTTTGGGACTGCTTGGCCAAGTTTTGGGCGTGGATTTTGATCCATGGAGCACACACAGGAAAACGAATGGCCCCTTATGGTGGGTGCAGCTCATTATCCATCAAAATCTTCATTTTTTAATTAAGAACTCCAGTTCTCTCCCCGCCCTGCAGTCCCAGCTCAGCGCTGGTGCCACCGGGGCTGGGCACAGCTTTGTCCTGGTCCCTCTCAGCTCTCCTCAGGATCACCAGGGAGAAATTGTCCCACGGCGCCAAGAAGGAAGGGCCCGGATTTGTTCCTGGATTCATTCCTGATGGAGAATTCCATAATTAAAGGAGGATTTCGCCCTCTCTGCTTCTTCCCCCACGTGGGGCACAATTACCCAAGAGCTCCCAAACTGCCTGATCCGTTTTCATGTCTGAAATATTCGGGGCCCTTTCTCCTGGCCACAGAAACCGTCCGGGTGGGGCTGTTCATCCAAGTTCACAAGAAACCATATTTTTTAATTACAAAAATTAAAATACTCAGGACCTGCCCCACTCCCTGTGGGTTTGGGCTCCGTGTTGGTGTCACCAGGGCTGGGCTTTATTTTGTCCTGATCCCTCTTGGCCCTGCTGGAGCCAGCAGAGCCAAATTGGCCTTTTTGGGGTTATTTTGTGTCACAATGAGCCCATGAAAGTGCAGAGCAGATTTTAATGACTTTAAAAAATCCATCTTCTGTTTTTTGGGGTTTTTTTTGTGTCACAATGAACCCATAAAAAGCACTGAGCAGATCTTTGGTGACCTAAAAAAAAAAGAATTCCTGCTCTCAGGAGATTTTGAACCCCTGGGAGCCAAGGAAGTGAATGCCTGGGAAGTCACACGGGGCTGGAGGAAGTTTATCAGCTCCTGGGAGCTTTTTGTCACCTCTGGCTCCAGGTGTCCCCACGCGGGTCCCGGGGCTGTCACCTGTCCCCGGAGCAGCGGGAATGTGGCCCTGGTGACTCTCAGGTGACCGGGACAGGTGAGGCACAGCCCTTGCACAACCAGCTGGGCTGCCACCCAAAAATAAACCTCCTCCAATAGTCCCGTGCGACTTTCTCACTGATTCAACTCCTTATCTCACACAGACTGAAAAAATCCTCATAAAACCATGAGGTGGGTTTTTTTTAAGTCACTCAAATCTGCTCTGAACTTCTATGGGTTTGTTGTGACGCAAAATAACCCCAAAAAACAGAAGATGGATTTTTAAAGTCACTAAAAATCTGCTCTATTCTTTTATGGTTTTGTTGTGACACAAAAAAAACCCCAAAAAGGCCAATTTGGCCCTGCTGGCTCCAGCAGAGACCAGGACAAAATAAAGCACAGCCCTGGTGACACCAACACGGAGCCCAAACCCCCAGGGAGGGGGCAGGGCCTGAGTATTTTAATTTTTTTAATTAAAAAATGTGGTTTCTTGTGAACTTAGGGACAAACGGCCCCGCCTGGGTGGTTTTTGTGGCCAGGAGAAAGGGCCCCGAATATTTTGGACATGAAAATGGATCAGGAAGTTTGGGAGCTCTTGGGTAATTGTGCCCCACGTGGGGGAAGAAGCAGAGAGGGTGAAACCCCCCCTTTTTTTGGGAATTCTCTGTCTGGAACGAATCCAGATTTTCCTGGTCAGCCCTGAGTGTCTGGCTCCACCTGGACCACAAGAACGTGGTTTTGTTGTGGCTTCTCTCCTGCAGGATCCATTTCTTTGATCTGAAGCCAGAATTCCCCTGTGGTTTTCAGCTCCATTTTTGGAGGTTTGAAGCTCCCTTTGACCAAAACAAGCAGTTCACATCCATAGAAATATAGCTCATAAACAGATTTCATTTATATAAATTTATTTTGATTTTTCCAGGTCGGGAACAGTGGCAGGTGGGACACCAGCAGGAATTTCCACCTGGAGACGGTGGTCAGGCATTGGAAGGCGCTTCCCAGGTGGGAATTCATGGAGCAGGGCCGATTTTCCATCTCCTGAGGTTTCAACCCAACACCTCGGATCACACATTGAAAATTCACCTTTTTTTTTCCCTTTTTCTCTCCTTTTGTTCTGCTGCCAGAGTTTCTATTTTTGGAGCAGGGAGGGAGCTCTGCATTCCTGGGGCCTCACCCTCCAAATCTGCATTCCTGATTTATTAAAGGTGGGGTGGAGAATCCCCGAGGTCCCACCGGGCTCCTCCTCCCGGGTTTTTGGGACCTCCCTCCTCCAACCCCTCTCTGCTTTAACGCTTTTCCTCCACCTTCACCTGGCGGCGGCTTCCTGGTGGAGTCAGGTGGGGTAAAAATGGCAGAATTCCAAAATCCCTGAAAAGAATTCCAAGGCGGGCGAGTCCAAGCTCGATCCCCACCTGGACACCCAGAAAAACATCCAGGAATTCCTGGGACACCTCCAGGGGCGGCCAGTCCAACCCTCCCTGAGCCCTTTTCCAAGGCCTTTTCCCTTTTCCAGGAGGAATTTTCCCAAATTTCCCTGCCTGGCTCAGCTCGAGGCCGTTCCCTCCTGTCCTGCCCCATTCCCTGGGATCAGATCCCAAATTCCCCCTGGCAGATCCCAGATTCCCCCTGGATCCCCCTTGTCTCCAGGCTGAGCCTCCCCAGCTCCCTCAGGACTCTCCATTTCCTTTTCCAGCTGCTCCAGCCCCATTCCCATCCCCGCTCCAGCTCCTCCGTGTCCCTTTTCATGAGGGGACAGAGGACCAAGTGTCCCCAAGTGTCCCAGAGTGTCCCCCAAGTGTCCCCCGAGTGTCCCCAACCACCAGAGCGCAGCATTGGCCCGCGCAGGCGGCTCCAGGAAAATCCCGTGGGATCCTCCCTCTCTCTGTGTCTCCAGGAAAAGTTTTAATTTCTGGTTTGGCTCAGCCCAGCCCCTTTTCTCCGCTGGATCTGGGAAGGAGCAGCACGGGCTGGGATTGTCCTGCTGGGATTCCGCCCCAGAGAGAAGGACCTGGGGGTCCTGGTGGGCAAAACCTGTCCCCAGGGATTGGGGAGGGATACCCCACCTCTCTCAGGGCCTCCTGTTCACGCTGGAAAAGCTGGGAATGTTGGGAATGTTGAGCCTGTGGAGACCCCAGATCCCCCCCAGGATCTGCAGGGGCTCCAAGGAAGTTGGAGAGGGACTTTTCCTCAGGAACTGCAGGGACAGGACACGGGGAATGGGGTCAGGGGGTCAGAGGGGGAATTTGGGT